AATTATTATAATTGTATTGTTATAAAATTTTCAATTTATATCTTTATCGTGTAGGTAACTTGATTTCTTTTATAAAATGAAATAATTCAATTTACACTAGATTTCGAAAACGACAAATTTGTTATTGTGTGTATCAAAGTGCAATTCTTGAAATAAATTCTAGAATAAGTTTAAATCGTACAGGATAGATTTTCACGTGTAGTTTATGTATAAACAATTTATGAAAACGAAACTCTATAAGTCAATGAGGGAATGGGATGAATATAGTTCTAGTAATTTAAATTAAAAGACGACGATTTATAGTGAAACAATATGTACTTATTTTCGAGAATTTTTTACTTGTTTCCCGCGTTTTCTCTTCGGACATGGTCCTTTTATCGATTCTAAATAACTGTGCGTGCATATTGAAGCTGGATGCTCGGCCGGTGCATTAACAGCTCTTGCCCAAATACTAGATGCTGTTGCACCTAATGCTCTCGACACGCACAATAATAGTTGATTGATGTTCATGTCTTTTAATCCGCAGGCCTAGAGCAGAGAGTAATACGTGTACAAGAAGCATTTGCCTTAGAACGTGATTAGACCGTGGACTTTATACATTTACAGCATTTTCGATCCTCAAAAGCTCAACGTAGGAAAGAAGTTTAACAAGATTTCGATCTCGTCGAAATGTATAATAAAACTTCTAGTGGGGCACAGAAATTCTGTTATAAGCGCATTCTCGATAAATTAGCTCTCAGGAACTTAATATCGCATAAAGATTCCCAGTCTAATCATGAAATTACACGTTGAATCTATTTTGTGTCGATATTCAAACTTTGTATAGCTTATTCATAGCAAAACGAAATCGAAAGATGTGATATTTCAGCAACGCGCAAGTAATTAACTTCGCGTAAAATAAATTTCAAATTTATTGTAATAACTAGAAATTAAGATGAAGATATAGTATTTAGGTAAATACATATGTATTTCGTAAATATCCAAAACATTGTAACCCGTTTTTATATTTTATTTGAACCGACGAAGATTAGATATTTATTTCTATTTGATCGAAAGTATTATGTTTTATTCGTAGAAACTTCCATTCGAATAAAAAGTATAGCAACAATTGTATACACGTATTGTTCGTATAATATTTAATGCCCAAAATTGCTTTTGACTTGTACAGCGAGACCTGCAATATCTTTAAATTTGGATACTGATTCAAGGTGTTATCAGAAAGTATTCTAATGCATTTTGAGGCGATATGTAAACAAGATAAAAGTACTGACGCACATACTCTGTTCGATCAAATAAAACGTTTTGATATCGAAGAATTAACTACGCAACATTATTTCTCTCGACGAACTGCATATGTACATTGTATGTTTTCGTACCTGAAAAACCGGTGCCACGATACTGGTCTGTTCCGGATGATATGTTTTTCCTTTAGCAGTCTTCATCATTGTGGTTAGTATCCGTGTAATAGTTCGAGACAACTGTGAATATAACAGAATCGAAAAAGGCAAAAGCTTTTATGCTGAGAAATATCTGTAACATTTCATAAATGCGTGATGCACAGTAAAATTTGCTTACGTACATTTACACCGGAATTATCGGGTATATTTTCTATGACATAATGCAATAGTGCAGTGTATCGTGGATCAGGAACATCTGTTTCCTTGCAACCAATTAATTTGTCTTTAGCTAGTAATGTCACGTAATTTTGTATGTTTTCTTCTTTCGATTCTCGGCCGAGAAGGGTCTGTATTTTCGATTGAAACTCCATGTACTGTATCGTGGAAACGAAACGAAATGTTAAAGTAAATACGATATGTAACGTTTGCAAAGTAGTGCCGGGTTTTAACGACAATCGCAATAAATGAGGGCAGAAAGAATGAAAAATAGTAATAATTACAATTACGGATGAAGAAAACATTTTCAAGGTACACATAACGTTATACATAATAAATATATTAGAAATTTCGGTGGATAGAATTACTGTAACTGACTCGGTGGTTCTAGGATAAGTGTTGAGTTGTCTAACACTGTTCTTACCAGAAAGAATCCTCATCTGCAATACTTTAAAGATCCCTGACCTTTTAAACATGTAAATTAATGCATATCAGATGTCTGAACAACCTCGAGGTGTTAGCTATTATCTATCGATGTAGAAACTACGTCGTAAGAAGCTATATTAAACCCATATTCGATATAACAATCACTTCAGTTTTCGATCGGGGCTATCAGTCAAGAAAAGTCAAGCTTGTATTCAGATTAATAATAATCGGACACACATACAAGACTGACAAATAAACTCCTCCTTTAAACTGAAACCCCACCTCGATCTAAATTCTACAATTTGCCACTCACAGTTCAACACATAATTCTAAAGTGCTCGAAATAAAAAATCCTCAAGGATCTCAACGAAACCTATAAATCAAAAGAAAGCAAAGAAAGCCTCCTGAAAATTAAATCTATAGACACGTGGAATAAAATTCATATTAAAAATAATCGTCCCTAATGACCAGGGGACCAATTATCATAAATTAACCGAATACGAAATATCCAATTATCATAAATTAACCGAATACGAAATATCTGCTTTCGATACGTGCATTTCCTGATTAAAAATGATCGTTCACCAAGTTTTATGAGTAAAGTAAGTTAAAAAGGGAAAACTTTAAATTTATGGTAAAGACAGTTACGAAATAAATTTTTTAATGTTTTTAGAAACGTTTCGCTTTGTAATCTATTCGAGGACAAAACGGTCTTCATTTTTCTAATAAAGTATCACGTTGCAATTGGTAGACAATCTACAGAATCGTTCTACATAAGAAACGCTTGCACACGTTTCGCGGTTAAAGCAGAAAAAAGGATATTAACCTTTACTGTACACACCATATAAAAATTCCATAAATTATACAATGGGCGTGACACATCGTAACAACTTCAAACGGCTGTCACGTTTAACCCTTTGCACTCGAAGCCATTTTAGCTGTAAATCTAAATTAATTTTTCTGACTTATGGTATTTCTATTTTATATGACAAAGTGCATTTTATGCAAATGAAATTTAGTCTCGTGACTCATACAACAATTAGACTTTTAACAATTTTTTACATCTAAACTTTTATAATATAAAAATTATCTTGAAACGTGATGTAACAATTTTTTAATGGTGCCTCAGAGTCACCACTGGAGTGCAAAGGATTAAACTATTCATTATTTTGGCTTCTGAAAATTCCTGAATATTCTTTGGATATTCTAAAATAGGGGTCAACAGCATTTTTCTCAAAGTTGTCATTTACACATAGCAAAAAGAAACAGGGTAAGAAAACACGAAAAGCGATTTGTTTTACAATAAACTTTTACTCGGATTTCGTACATCCAAAGGGATAAAGGTTAAAAATGAAAATTCGGCGTGTTTTTCTTTTTAATTTTTAAAAACTGAAGGAACTCGACTTTTGGATTCCTGTTTAATACATCAAGATTTAGGGAAATCCATGAGATACATTTGACTTTAACCAAATTCATTTGACTTACTTGTGACATTGTGCCACTCTTCGGCTCATCATTATACGCTAAAATCCCTGCAGCTAATGCTTGGTTTATATCCAGCTGGCAGGCATTGAGTATTTCTGTGACATGAATAGCAGGAATGCCTCCATCTTCGTCCCTAAATAAAAACTTGTATACAACAAACTAGACATTATAGTGTACAAATATCTGAATATTTGGAACAGAGATTTTGTGGGAAAGGGGTGGAAGAGGTAGGAAACCTAAATATAAAATTTTGCCTACGGATCTTTATTAATTTCCGAGACAGTACTAAACAACTAATACTATATTAATACAAAAGTAATGAATAAAATTATTAATAGAAAACTAACTCGGAACGTAGAGGGCAGATGGCCGAATAATACGATTACCAAATTTCTCACCATCGTATGAATTTGACAAGAAGCAACAAGTTAAGTTGGGAAAAATAGGAACGCAAGACATTTATTTAAAAATCGTTTTCTGTGAAATCTACAAATGGATATTACTCGTTCGATGTAATTTTCATCGAAATCAGAATTTACGAGTAACATATGTCTTTACAGATAAAAATAAAAAACTTACGCANTTTTCTGACTTATGGTATTTCTATTTTATATGACAAAGTGCATTTTATGCAAATGAAATTTAGTCTCGTGACTCATACAACAATTAGACTTTTAACAATTTTTTACATCTAAACTTTTATAATATAAAAATTATCTTGAAACGTGATGTAACAATTTTTTAATGGTGCCTCAGAGTCACCACTGGAGTGCAAAGGATTAAACTATTCATTATTTTGGCTTCTGAAAATTCCTGAATATTCTTTGGATATTCTAAAATAGGGGTCAACAGCATTTTTCTCAAAGTTGTCATTTACACATAGCAAAAAGAAACAGGGTAAGAAAACACGAAAAGCGATTTGTTTTACAATAAACTTTTACTCGGATTTCGTACATCCAAAGGGATAAAGGTTAAAAATGAAAATTCGGCGTGTTTTTCTTTTTAATTTTTAAAAACTGAAGGAACTCGACTTTTGGATTCCTGTTTAATACATCAAGATTTAGGGAAATCCATGAGATACATTTGACTTTAACCAAATTCATTTGACTTACTTGTGACATTGTGCCACTCTTCGGCTCATCATTATACGCTAAAATCCCTGCAGCTAATGCTTGGTTTATATCCAGCTGGCAGGCATTGAGTATTTCTGTGACATGAATAGCAGGAATGCCTCCATCTTCGTCCCTAAATAAAAACTTGTATACAACAAACTAGACATTATAGTGTACAAATATCTGAATATTTGGAACAGAGATTTTGTGGGAAAGGGGTGGAAGAGGTAGGAAACCTAAATATAAAATTTTGCCTACGGATCTTTATTAATTTCCGAGACAGTACTAAACAACTAATACTATATTAATACAAAAGTAATGAATAAAATTATTAATAGAAAACTAACTCGGAACGTAGAGGGCAGATGGCCGAATAATACGATTACCAAATTTCTCACCATCGTATGAATTTGACAAGAAGCAACAAGTTAAGTTGGGAAAAATAGGAACGCAAGACATTTATTTAAAAATCGTTTTCTGTGAAATCTACAAATGGATATTACTCGTTCGATGTAATTTTCATCGAAATCAGAATTTACGAGTAACATATGTCTTTACAGATAAAAATAAAAAACTTACGCATTCAAGGTGACATACAATCGAAGGAAATCTAAGATCGTTTTCTTTTTATTTTTCGTGATCCCGTACGCGTCGCTTAAACACTCCATTAGAAATTGCACCCAATCTCCTTCGAGTTTGACGTCGTTGAGCCCTTCACCTTTGGCAATCAGCCCAACAATTGCGGGCAATGTGGCTAGCAATTCCATGCTATCTTCATACGTGTACTCGAAAGGGTAGCATTCGATTTTATAAACGGAAGCTCCGTAAAAGTCAAGGGAATCCCGCAACGAAGATCCATTATTTTTCAACTTACTTCCCAATAGCTGTAACTTGACGTTCGATTTTTCAAAGCTTCCTTCATATGTTTCCCCGAATCGAAAACGCTCAGAGCCACCGATAGCTTCCCCAAAGGTGAGATTGTCTCCGGAAGGGTTCGAAGGATAGAACCAACGATTCCTCCACCTGGACCGGACCACCAATGCTTATTTCTTTGACGTCGTATCGACCAATCAGCGATTAGCGAAGCTGTTTGTTCTTGCGTGGGTATGTCGCCAGTAAGTAACAACCAAAATACAGATTCTGCGCTCGGTGACTTCCCTTGACGTGGTAGCAAAGTCACAACTTCTGGCAGCGATAATCCTCTGAACTTGATCTGAATGTGTAACGTTCATTTAAAAATCTGCTCGCGATAGCAAGATGATACGAATCAAATTTTTGACGATGGTTAAATAATCGTTTAAATAATCATTGTCGTCGCTTTTACGGTGTGCTTGGATTAGCTTTTATCAACGCTCGAACGGCGGACCTTTTTGACAAAAACAGAACCGAATATGCCTAAAAGGATCATTTATAATTTTATCTAGCAATTTTTTGTTCAACATATTCTTCTTAAAGTGTTTTTATAAATAGATAATCACAAGCAACGATGTTCATACTCCGCGTTAAAATTCATTATTCCAGAACAGTTATTCTTAGCGTGCTTGTAAGTTTTTCTTACATAGCATCGAAATGTATTTTGATATTTGAGATATTACTTTCTTCATTTTTTCTCACTGTTAAGTCACACTTACTCCATGTTTCGGATCTGTTTCCGAAGTTTCCCTAACCAACGTTTTCACGCCATTCAAGCCCTGGTATATATTTTCTACGGTGATGCGACTGACTACGGCGGATCCGTGCTGTTGACGAAAATTCCTTAGTAGATCATAGTGGATAGGTATCTTTTCCCATAGGGCCTGCTTTAAGTCGTTGTTCGCACTGGGCGTACCTCTTGTTCTGCTTACCTTAATTTAATCAGTTCTTTTATACTTCAGTAATATCTGTAACTTCCTAAATTAGTAGCTTTCACACGTCACATGTCGCAGAAATAACGTTAAAATGTTTGCTTTCGATCTATAGCAAGCTTTTAAGTTTTCTACGAAATAAGAAAGCGACTTATTTCGTTACAGAGATCGAGTATATTAACTATTGATTCTATTCTACCGTGTTCTGTAGAGAATTTAATTTACGATAAATACATTTTTCTTTAGAAGAATGCTACAACAATTTTCCGTTAGAGTTAATTGTTCACCCATGAAATCTATATTTTGTAATGTAACAGTCTACTAGATAAATCGTATTGTTCCTTGTTGCAACTACATGGCAAGTCATACGAAATTACAGCTTTGTAGCTGTTTCGTAGAGCGAAACGTTTTTATTTGAATAGTTCAGTTTATATTAATTCGTTAATTCTCGAAATTCCCGACGAAAAATTATAATTATAACATAATTTACATTATGGATTAAAAATAACTCGACTTAGCCCGGCGAGGATTAATTGCTCAAATATCGATCGGTTCGGTCAAGTTTGGTTATGATTTCGAAAATCAAATTGGCTGCGAGTAACCTCGTACATCGGTAAATCAATTCCAACCGTCAATGCCTGTCGTCGTCCTCCGAAATTACTATTGCTGTGCGGCCTGGTAAACATAATTGTCGGTGCGTTCATCCATCCTCTCATAATTTGATTCATTTTTCCCAAATAGGAGTACCAAAGACAGCGGCCCTTTAAATTCGTATCTTCAAAATGTTTTTTAATTTATTGCACGTTGCAAATTGAAGCTTAAAATTTAGACATCGCTTTGCGAAAAATAGACAAAACTAAACCATGACAGATTCGTCAAAACTGAATTTTGATAAATCCACGCGATGATTTTCTTTTGTTCTTTTCATTGCATCTCGCAGCGGAACCTGTTCAATGTGTAAGAGAATTTAAAAAAAAATATATTGAACACGTTTTTTGAGGTACTTCGAAGACGAACGATTGGCGAGAAAATATATTTTTTTATTCGCTGTATGTTTCATAACGAGGTATTTAATCGTACAAAATAATTTAGGTGGTTAAACGTTCACGTAATTAAGCTGTAAATTAAATATCCAGAATTTTGTGACAACAAGCTGTTATCTTCTTCGTGTTGTTACGAAATCTAACGAGGAGGAGAAAGGTCAAATTAAATTCACAGAATTTATACTTTAGTTTGCAGTTTACTATCGCGTTACTTCTGCATACAAAATAATGTACATTTTGTATGTAAAACGACGCTTCCTCGACGCTCAATTCTGTACAAATCACGTCGTAAATTACTTTCTTCTAGATTCTATCTATTCCGGTACAAAGATTTCCAACGAACACATGTTTGTATGTTAAGTAATTAGACGCTATCTTGATTTACGGTGTATTCAACATTTACGTATAATCTGCATCACCTACGCGTGTAATTATACAATTTTAACGACCGGCTGTTTTTCCAGTCCGATCGAACGTAAAAGTTGGCGGGAAATCTTTCAACAATATACATACGTTACTTGACGTCATCTGTGTTACGGTAGGTAACGGCGGAAAATATTGCGTTCTGCTTAAAATCGATATAAACAATAACAACAGTAACATGCACTTCATAAACTTGCACACATAATTCTCTACTATCGGCTGTATTCGAACGACTATAGATTATAATTTGAAAATTGTCAAGAATGTAAATGAATGTGCAATCGACACCGGGTACTTAACATATTTTACCGAATTTAATTTTTTTTTTATGAGGAATCAAAGTTGCTTACGTTGCTCCCTCGAAAATTTTGACTTATTTCTTAAAATGTAATCTATGCATACAAAAACGTTAAAAAGACGGGTAAAATAAATTATAAAGTCATTATAAATGAACCTAACTCGAAATTATCTTAACAATAAACTATAATAAATAAATAATAGATAAATTATAGATAAATATAATTTATAAATAAATTATAAAGTTATTATAAATGAACCTAACTCTAAATCATCTTAACGATGAATTTGATTATTAATTAACGCTCCTTATTTCTCACAATGAGGAAAATTTGACTTACGCCACTATGATTCTAAACCACTAAAACGTTTCCAACCTGCGAGAAATTTGTGAGTTTCCAAAAATACAGACATACAGTTGTTGACAATCGGCAAACTATAAAATTCTCTTCCAAAATTATCTATTTCTGTTTAGAAGCTGACGGATGATTTGAGAGAATATATTGTACTCGCATCACGTTATGAATTCCACATTATTAAAATTGTTTATCCTCCGATTAATTTGTGAACGTACTGAAGAGTTCGTAGTTCAAGTTAAGAATAATGCAAAATAAATGGAAACATAAATTGAATCATAATTTTGTTTCTTTTCGTAATATGATGTTGAAATTATCGAATAATTTTTTTAGGAAAACGTGCAAAAGATTGAACGCGTATGTTTAGTCGTTCTTTTTGTACTTATAGCCGATAGCGTATATGCGCAACACTTTGTGATAGCAACAACTACGCTTACAATCTACTTACCGATTAATTCCTTAACAGTATAGTAAAATATATGTATATTGTATACGCTATTGCTTGATCTGAGGTAACTCTCAATAACACGCTATTGTTACATTTATTTGTTTGCTATTGTTAGTGTAATCGTTATACTTACTATCATTATTTTATTACTATTATCATTAGGCCGAATGCATTGCTGGAAATAAATCAAGATTGTAGAATCATTCTATTTACTTCGAATACAATATAAGGAAAAATTATAAATAGTATAAACAGTATATACATATGAAACAATGAGTTGGAAAGACCTCTATTTATGGATAGCACATCTAAATGAATCAGGAAACAAAATGTTTTTGCATTTGTACAAAGTTCTCATCCTGTCTTTCACATACGATTCAAATGTTATATACAGGGTAGGGCACCTGTAAATATTTCCATTATTATTGGGTGGCATGAAAAAGTTTTAGACGATGAAGTTATACTAATTATTTTAAGGCGCACAGCTTTTTACGAGCTTTTTACTTTTTTTTATGGAACCGTATATTCTTTTAGAGTCCACATTATCAATTTGTTTAAACTATCTCATAGTAACAGGAAATTCCTAAAGTGGAGAAAAATAGGGGTTGAAAATCTTTAACTGCATAAAAGCACCGCTTATTTAAGACATTGAAAATGCATAAAATGCATTTGAATCACTTTACAGTTTCGTCTAGGAATAATGAAGAATGAATAACATATTCATTTCAATAACGTCCGATGTTTCAATTATTACTGTCAATTACATAAATATCTTAAGATCAGATAAACTGAACGGTAGATTGTCGTAGGTGGTTTTTACCATTTTAAGAATATAAACCTAGAGTATAAATTATAAGAATATAAACAAAAAAATACATGGTTCGATTTAAAACAAAAAAATACTGATAATCTTGAGATGTTTTAAAAAGGAAAATGATCTTGAGAAAAAATAGTGGCCCACCCTGTATATCACAGGAAAGTAACGAGACACTAAATTTCTATCGTTTAAATAAAGATCATACACTTTTGTTATTTTTGGAAATAAGAAAACGAAGTTTAAACGGACATAAAATAGGAATGAAATTACGTTACATCGAAAATGTCTTATTATCATAAATAATGATTAAATGATTGCAGTGTACGTGTGTCTGTAATGATAGTATTGCTGTGTTCAAAGTATAAACTTAACAGGGAATTCAGTATTGGCAATGTTTCTCAGTGAAGTGTTTGTATAAAAAGTTGTTATAAAAAAATGTATGTGTCTAGTAACAAATGAAGCTCGTAAACATTGTTTGCGTATAATAATGATTTCTTGTAAAAGTCGTTCGAAATGTTTACATCTTTTGTACACTGTGTTCAAAAGTCATTTGTCCACACAATCGCGCGTGTCTTTTGTATCTCCAGATAATTTATTCCGGCATCACATATTATTGTTTTCCAATCGTAAACGTTTTTTCAAAATTGCAGTTAGAACCTACTTATTCAATGTGAAGACGCTCTATAAAATTTGTTTTCTGTAATAGTATCTGACAAAAATTAGACGACGCAAATTTAACTGTGCAAAAAATAATCGTTAGAATCTTAAAAGTATACGGAATATAATAATAAAATTCGAGCGAGGGTAAACACTGAACGCGAAGGAAATAATTGAAATGTGTATGTTACACGTATCGTTTACTTCTCACAGTCTCATTACTTTTTTGGCAAACCGTGTGCGCAGAGCGACAACTTTCAATCTGTAAATGACATTACCGAGAATGGCATACTGAACGTGTATAAACTGCGAAAGAACTTCGACAAAGCGCGTAACATTTTGCAGAGGGAATTTGAACAGGCGTTCGCGTGTTTAGAGTGTCATTTACAGAATGAAATTCCTCGCTTTGCATAGAAAGTAGAGTTACATGCTGTATTTACAGAGCGAATTATAAAAGTAAAATGTTAAAGGAAACCGTACGTAGATAGAAAGGGATTCGGCAGTCAGTGTCAAGTACGCGATACACATTTGCAATCATCTCGTAGCATTCATCGTGAACGAGCGATTACAATTGTACAACAAGATTGTATTTCTCACAGTGTTAAAATTACGCGGCGGGTAGTTTCACTGGGTCACACGTTCACATACGCGGCTCAGAAACGCTCGGTATCCATATCGTCGCTAAATTACTAATACTGTTGATTGTGAGCACGAAAATTTCACTAGCTATAGGACATGCATATTTCGTTTGGAAATAAACAAATGATCGAATTGCCTAACTGAAACCGAATAATCAGAAAAATATCTTGTTTTCTGTTCGTATTGATTCTCGTCCGGTATCAAAGTTCAGACATAACAAAAATATATGAGATTTGTAATGATCGATGTAAGATTATAGAAATTGCTCGATAAACCAATGAGAAACGAATGCATTTTTCATGAGACATTACAATAGTTTGAACGATCACAATGTCGTATGTTATACGATTGAACGGTGAACCGTGGAAACGGTTCGGGTGTTTTCACTTCGATTTAGAAGCTGTTGGAACGTGTCCGGAGTTATTTGCTTTAGAATACTCGGTAAAATTTAGCTTTTATGTTACAACTTTTCCCGACTCTCTTCCGAGATCGAACCTTCCCCTCGTTTACATTCGACTTTCGCCTTTAAGTTAACTACGACCCTGCATCGCGATAAGAAAGGAAGCAGTTCTTCTGATAATATTGTCGCAGAAGACGAGTACGCTCATTCTTTGTTTTTAATGTCAGAGAAGAATGCACTTTTCTCCGGTGTCGTGGGGATGCGCTCGTAAAGGCTGCATGGGTGCAGACGACGGCGAGGGTGGTCTACCTTCGACTGCTTGGATGTTCTTCATTAATTCTCGAAACACCTAGTGATAGTTATTACATATTCATACCATAGTAATTCTGGATAGGAAGGACCTACAAATAAAATTGATCAGCTCTGTAGAGGGTTGACAAATTTTGAAGAGAAAAGATCATGTAGATAACACTAAATAATATTTTAATAATTAGTTAATACTCGATTCTTGTACAAAAATAAGTTTAAAGCGTTTCAATAGAAATAAATGTGATTTTGTAGAACATGTATAGTAAAATGTCTCAAACTTCTCCATCTGTGTAACCATACATATAAAACAACATTTTTAATTTCTCAAGGAAAGCCGAGTAGTTTGGCCGAATTATACAAAAGTTATTTTGCTTTTAAAGTACTGGTTTATACTGGATAATGTTTGAAAGAAGTTTTGAAAAAATTACAATTGATCGAAGTCTTGGAAAAAATATGAAAAAAATATGAAATATAATAATGAAAAATAATATGTAAATAATAAATAAATATGAAAAAAATTTCAAAAATATAATTTGCAGATTTATTTTATACAACATCCTGAAAATTCCATCATATTTGAATACGCAACAGTTTATTTTGTACGAATCTCACAATTAAACATTTTTGTTCGATTTTTTAAGCTCATCTAAGCCCCTTTCTTTTAACACAAGTCCTTATTTAAAGCGAAAACTGTACTTTTATTATGTAAATTGAATCATCAAATAAGTTAGTTAAATACATTTCCTTGTGGCGCTGCGATTCGTATCTAAAAATACGTATCGAGTACCAATATCTAGACTGTTTTACTCTGTGGTATGTAAACGATGTTTCGTAAATAGCGCCAAAAATCATTGCTTTTCGTAGAGTGCGAGTGTGATCATTTTATTGTATATCAATTTCATAATTTCACATGATTTCGCATTCTGCATGTGAAAAAGAACAAAAGTCCGAACATATCCTTTTTGAAAATATAAGGTTATATAGGAGACGAAGTTATATTGGTCCTTTATGAAACATTTGTGTACTTAACCTTTAGACTGCGGATTTTATGCATTTATGACAAAAATAAGTAGGTCAATTTTAAAACAATAGACCGATTAAGAGAATTAAAGGGCGCCATTATATTATTTTCAATTTACTGAAATTGTTAAAAAAAGGAAGAACTTACTGTTGTTGCAATTCACATTTTGCATAAAGATCCGCAGTTCACAAATCATGAATTCTGCACGCAAGTAAGTGTTTGAGTCTTTAATTTATTGCGAAGATATTTGTATCAAATATTATTATGTATAGACTTTTATTTTGTTTTAATTTTAAATCTTCTGTGTTTTAAATCTAGTTTCATGTGCAATTTTAAAACATATGATATTGCAGCTTAGGAATAAAATTTGGTCGTTATTTTATTTCAGAGAATCGATTTTATCAAAGAGAATAATAGAATTTGATAACCATTTTGATGAAGCTGTTCTTATTGACAGAAATGGAAAACAGAAACTATTTTCTAATTTGAATAAAAGGTTCAAGAAAAATATATGTTACGTTAAAACTGATAAATCTGAGAAAAGGAGCTTTGTAAAACAATGTATGCCTGGATTAAAGAGATTGAATAATTTCAATGTAAATCCTATTTCTAAGAAGAAACACTACAAATCACATAATCGTTCGGATGAAAATGTATTTGAGTGTTACAAATCATTAAATGAAAACAATATTTCAACATATAATCAAAACTTACATAATGGAAATAATATAAAAGTACAAGAGACAGAGAACATGGAAGAAG